GAAACCAGATTGCCCAGAGAAAGCCCACCTGTGAGGATGACACAATCACATTCTACTTATAGGTCAGCAACCTACTCCACACACCGAAACAAGATTCTCTCCGTTCGATCCACCAACCCTGCCACAATGCCCCCATTGTGCGTTTGCAGGCTCGTCAGCGGCGTCAGTTTGCGTTGTAAGGGGGTCATCGCGTGGCCATGCTGGACGTGTTTGAGGCATTCGTCAAGGTGAGCCCTCACTGCTGCTATTCACAGCGTGTCCTGTGCCATGGGCCTGTATCGTTGTATGACATTGAAAATAATTTGTCCAGGCTTTGATGAGCTGAATCCAGAGAATAATACATGTCATGTATTTTTTTATCATTTATTGTTGAAAGAAATCTATAGCTGCACTGTGCAGAAGTTTAGAACAAATTGGAAGTATTTAGAAAATAAGTCACTTACATTTTTTTTGTGACAGATTCTAGTATTTAAACAGAATCTGTTTTTACAAATCCTTCATGACCCACAAAATGTGTGGGTTTGTGGAAGAGCCATCACCCACAATTCCTATTGATAGCCATTTAATCTTTAAAACGCCAAGTGGGGGCCTTGGGTTATGGGAATTAATTTTCTTTCTACGTGACTTTACCGAAAGAACCAAAGAGTAATTCCTGCAGTCACGAAAGCTCCAAATCAAGTTTTAACCACCTCTACCGGGAAGTTTGAAGTTTGTTTTCTCTCTCTCTGTGTCTCTGTGTCGTCTCTCTCTGCTTGTGTGTCTGTCTTTGTGTCTCCGTGTCTGTGTCTTGTCTCTCTCTCAAATTTCCACTTAACTTCAAATTTAGCAATCTTTGAAAGAACGTAATCAACCAGGCTATACGTTAATTGTGTGTTGACCGACTCTCTGTGTTGCATTGCATTACATTTCCAAATGTTACTAAGTTTGTTTTAAGTGTGTTTTTTCTCTCTTGGTGTGTCCTCGTGTTGTAGTATTTCCTGCAGTCACGAAAGCTCCAAATCTCTCATTGACATGCTAATTTCTCTACCACCCTCTCTCTCTGCCCCCCTCTCTCTCTCTATTTAAGGCTTCGACACAGAGACATTGTTTCTCTGTGTGCCTGTGTGTGTGTCTCTCTGTGTGTCTGTGTTATTTCTCTCTGCTTTTGTGTCTATGCGTCTCCGTGTCTGTGTTTTGTCTCTCTCCCAAATTTATCAATTTTTAAAAGAACGTAATCAACCAAGTAGGGTGTTGACTGTTTTGTTAGCCGACTCTCTGTGTTGTATTGCATTATATGTCTAAGTTTACTAGGTTTGTTTTCTCTTTCATTTGTACCTGATGATGATTGCTTGTGTTGCAATCGAAACGTCGTATGCTATTATTTAATTTATTTTCTTTTCTTTCTACGCGACTTTACCGAAAGAACCAAAGAGTAATTCCTGCAGTCACGAAAGCTTGAAATCAAGTTTCAATATGGGGTTGTAATGTAAGTTTTGAATCAATAAAACCGAATATTTGGAGCACTCTGTTCAATCATGTTTTTTCTGATATCCGTAATAAGTTAAGCGAATTAAACTAGACTCTTGTTTGATGAAAATAACATGTTAGTTAATTCTAGATTTAAAGCTTTCGTGACTGCTAGGATCCATACTCTTTGCTTCTATTGGGTAAAGTCACGTAGGTGTTATTTTATTTTCACCTACGTAACATGTTAGTTCTTTGGGGATTTAGGATAAATTTTAGTGATGACAATTGATGTTGAATCAAGTCAATGTTGGAGATTCTTTTTGACTTTGGAGATTTATCTGATACAAACATGACAATGTCACCAGCAAAGATATTTAATTCTGACTAATTTTAAGTTTAGTACAAAATTATCTATCTCTATATATAAAAAATGGAAATTTGTGATTATGTGTGTCTGTTCAAAATGTTTAGCGTACTTCCCGACATGCAACAAACTTTAAATTTGGCATGTGGGTACTTTCCAGACTGTACACCATGCAAAAATTATAAAAAATACACTTTAGTATATTTTTTTTGGCGGGAGGGGGGGGTGTGTGCTCAATAATGCAAATATTTTTTGCACGGCAAGTGAGTTATGACGTCACATCTGTCATGTGACCCTTACCGGTGTGCGGAAGCGTAACGGAGTGTGCCTGCTGATCGCGGGTAAAGTGAAATACAAATGTGTTGCAGGTCTAAGGCGTTCTTTGCGCAGCATTACTTTATTGTTTCAGTCGTTTACTGCCGTACGCACCCTGAAAGTTGTGTGTGTCTGCAGCAAGCGCGTGTATGTGTACCTATGGGCGCGCGCGCGTGTGGGGGGAGCGGTACTGTAGTGGTTAGCGTGCTGTCTGTGTGTGGGGGAAGTGGTAGTGTAGTGATTAGCATGCTGCGCTACGAACCCGGCGACCCGAGTTTGATTCCCGCTCACGGCCACCACCGGTGACGATTTTTTGAACCGGTCCTGGGCCTCCCCTAGGCCGACTCAGCCTCAAACGAGTAACTGGTGTGTGTGAACATCGCCACTGGGGAGACGAAGGCGGCCGGGCATGGTGAATCCAAGTGCCGGGCGAAGCCGGGTAGTAAAGCTAGTCTATATATATAAAAGGGAAATTTGTGAATGTGTGTCTGTTCAAAATGCTTAGCATACTTCCCAATATGCAACAAACTTGAAATTTGGCATGTGGGTAGCTTCCAGACTGTACATAATGCAAAAAGTATAAAAATAGACTTTTGTATTTTGGTGGGGGGGGGGCGCAAAATGGATATATTTTGCACGGCAAGTGAGCGGTGACGTCACATCTGTGATGTCACCCGCATGCGGCAGCGTCACGCAGTGTGCCTGCTGACGTCACGCAAACCCCCCCCCCCTACCCTCCGCATAGGCCGTGTATTAATTCAAGACAAGAATCTAAGTCTCGGTCGAAGCCGGGTAGTAAAGCTAGTTTAAATATAAGAAAATCATTGGACCTAGCATGGAACCTTGTGGAATGCCATTTGTTTTGTTACTTTTTGTGGTCGAGATGTTATTACTATTGTAGGGGACTGTATGTCAGAGGTATGTTTGGGGCACGCATTGCGATACAGTGGATACGTAAGCATGGGAAACTGCAAGGGGAAATATCGGGGAACGCACACGTTGAGTTAATTAACAGCAGGTGGTCTGTCCACGGGGGGGGGGGGGGGGGCTGGTCTGATTTGGAGCGGGGCCTAAGGAGCCTGAACTCAGTTGGGGGCATAAGGCTGGGACAAGACTGAAGAAAGACGACCAAGGCGGAGTGCAGCTGGGCTAGGTTCAACTGAACTGTTTGTACTGACTACACGGAAATAAAGACTTACCTTGGTTAAAATGAACTCCTCAGGAACGCCTTTACACTTTGTACTTATTTAAGAACGATCTGAGAGGTAACTTAAATAATTTTTTTGTTAAATCTGAAAACCGTAATTGACCAAGTCTTGTGAGTGGAATATAATTTTCAACATACTCTGGCTTTTGAAAAGGCAATGAATATTGCACAGCAGTAGTGCTCTTTTATGCCGTTTACTGATGAGAACATTTAAAATATCCATAGCTGTGGTGGTGCAGTAATCCTCATGAAAAACAGACTTTGCTGTGTAGGAGATTGAGCTTTTAGGCAGCAGTTTGGGATGTAAGTTTTTCGAATATTTAAGTAACTGTTGAAAAAATAAAGATCGGTCTATAATTATTAGGGTCATCTGAAGCCATTTTCATACAGTGGACAAATGAAAGTAGATTTCTACAATAGTGGAAATGCACATTTGGTAATTGAGAGGTTGAAAATGTGAGGGTTTTATAGATGAGATTTGCCACAGCCACAAGTGCAAATGCAGGTAACTCGTCTTCTGCCATTGGATGACGTCTTAATTGACTCTAGCTTATGCAGTACGTTCAGTTCATATATAGGACTAAATGAAGAGTAGAGATGATGACTTTTTCACGAAAAAAATCTAGGGTTGGTGTGTGAAGAGGAAGAAGTGAGTGATGCAAACCGTGGTGTATTTGGATACATTTTGCTCTGGCGTGTTTTGTCAAAGACATAAAATGCGATTTTAATGTCACAATGTCTTGTTTTGTGAACACTTAGATGTATGTATATTATCTTATATTTATAATAATGGTAGATCATTTTTTCCATTGTTTTCAACTAAATTGAAGTTTCATCAGAAGCCTTTTTGCTTATTGTGAATTTAGCATAGTTTGATAGGATGGAAATGTAACGTTTCTTACTTGGCGACTACATCAAATTTTTAGCATTGAAGGAGGTTATTTGACGATGTTGCATTATTCCAGGCTTTTCTCTAGTTTTTTATCATTTCTAGTTTTTTGTTAAATATGGATGGTTACCCTTTATTCTTTACTTGTTTAAGGGGGAATGCACGCCAATGATTTTTAGGAATTGGTTCTTAAAATATGTCCGAGCACTTTCAAAAACTGGAATTTTTGTTCACTTCATTGCAGTCAAAATGTAGAGTGTAATGTATTGATGATTTAAGGTCAAAATGTTTAATTATCATATTGGAATTATTTAATGAGTTGATTTTTGTCATGTTTTAAGACAAATGCCAAAGATAATGGCATGGTCACTGAGATGGTTACCGAAGACTCCCGCTTGAATAGTTACTGGGCTAATTTGTTTGGAGAATATCAAGCATGGATGAAGAATATGATTTTTTTACCTCTTGGGTCTAGTGGTTGAAATAATTTGTTTATTTAGATTGTACTGGTTTGTAAAGTTCAATGCATCATGTGGTAGGATTAGCTAACAATGATGACGTTATCCTGCACTATTTAAGACCGGAAGCAGGTGGATGGCTTCGCTATTCTGCCAAATCGCCCAAAGATGCTGGATATAATTTACAGCAAAACGTCGTACTACTCAAATTGAAAATTTCGTGGATCCACTCTTCAACACACCAGTGCGCTAAAGTTAAATATTTGTCTTTTGTCAATGTGACACATTTTTTTACTGATTGGCCGTGTCGGGTGGTGGAGGGTTGCGACATTTATAAATAACGCGATCTAACCCAAAAACCTTTATTATGAAGAAGCAGTCCACTCTACTGATCCTAAACAGCCCAGTAGCAGCACAAACAGCAGCCAGGGGAGGACCACTCTCGAGTGGGAGCTCATCCCAGGGTCTTGACCGCGATCTGACAGCTGAGCTCGGGCGGGTTGAAGATGCGCATGAGGTCTCCGAGCTGGTGGAGCGGTATGCCGACCATGCAGTTGCTGCTGGAGAAGGGGACGCGCACCTCGGCCACCAGCTGCTCGGCCTTGCCACGCGTGCGGCCCAATGGCGCCTCCACGCTGAAGCCATTGGTGAGCAGCAGCGGCACGAGCACCTGGGCCCTTGACCCCCATGTTGAACACCCCCCACGCTGGGCAGCGTGGCTCCCTTACGCGATCTGTCCCAGTCTCTTATAGGGGGCGGGCAGCGATACGGAGGAAGAGTGGCAGACAACCGAAGAGGAGGAGACTGCTGAAGAGTGGCAAATGATGGAAAAGTTGGATGATGGGGACATGGAGAAGGAGGAATGGGAAGGGATGGAGGAGCTTGAGGTGGTGGTGGATGGAGGAGATGGTGGATAAGACAGAGATGGAGGAGCTGGAGGTGGTGGAGGAGGAGCTGGAGGTGCTGCAGGTAGGGGAGCTCTCGAATCACTCACCCCTCACTCACCCATCACCCAACCATCACCTGCCCTGACTCACCAACCAATCATTCAACCATCACTCACCACTCAACCATCAGCCACCCCTCAACCATCACCCAACAGTCACTCACCCCTCACTCACCAATCGCTCAAACATAACTCACCCCTTACCCCTCACTCACTACTCGCTTAACCATCACGCACTCACCAATCACTCAAGAATCACCCACCCCTAACTCACCCCTCACTCACCCCTCACCCATCACTCACCACTCACTCACCTGCCCCTTTGTCTCTGTGTATGGAGCAGCCCCACCCAAAGCAGCTGTTGGGAGAGCTGCGCAGGGAGGTGACCCAGACTGCGACCATCAACCGTCCAGTGCGCATGCCCCTCGTCAGCAAATTGCCCGAAGGTGATCTCGCCAATAACAATTAATTATAATTTTTATTATTATCAACACGAATAATTTAGCACATTTGGCATTCACGCCCCCTCTTGTTCCGTTCCGGGGATCTTTGTCTTTGTCCCAATTGAGTGATTTCTGGTGTAACTTTTTATATTTGCGCCAAACCTAGACCGTGATGAGTGACGTCCGCGGGATCTTTGACGTCCACTTCCAAGTGAGCGGCGCAGGCCATTTTGCTACCGTGTGTGGAGTATTATCGGCCAAACGTCAAATTGCTACAAAGGTCACCTGGCAAGTGACTCGGCAGTCGGGGTCCCACACAGGAACATGCCCCCCCGGCCCCACCATTCCCTGCCGCGAAAGCACGGACAGGAGCCTCGTGAGACACGTTGAGGCTTTCCTGGGTAAACGAGCATCTTCATTAACAATACAGTAGAATTTCGATTTAAAGCTTTCGTGACTGCAAGGATTCATCTTCTTTGGTTCTTTCGGTAAAGTCACGTAGAATGAGAATAAAATAGTAAATTGATAAAATAAAATAACACAATAATATTCTCACGACGTTTCGGCCACAACACAAGCGGCCTTCATCAGGTGACGGGACGAGACTGTCTGGTAGGACAGCGCTGGAGTGAAAAAAGCCATGTTCAGATCACGACCTTTAAGCTGTGTCAGAAGAAACAAAGCACCTTGACAAAGGAATTAGCATATAATTTAGCATTGAAATGGCCGAGTGATTGGCTTGTGACTGGTCACAGAAATGGCTATGTTAAAGTTAAAGCATACACATCCGCAGAGGCACCCCTTGACAAAGGAATTAGCATAGAATTTAGCATTGAAATAGCTAAGTTAAAGCATGCACATCCGCAGAGGCACCCCTTGACAAAGGAATTAGCATAGAATTTAGCATTGAAATAGCTGAGTGATTAGCTTGTAACTGGTCACAGAAATAGCTATGTTTAAAGTCAGAGCATACACATTCACCGAGGCACCTAGTACAAATCAAACAGGAGAATTTAGCATTGAAATAACTAGGTGAATTTAGCATTGAAATAACTGAGTGATTAGCTAGTGACTGGTCACAGAAATGGCTATGTTGAAGTCAAGGTCTACACATCTGAGCTATTCACAGTAACTGGGTATACAATACAATGTATAATGAATACTACATAGTGAACCAATAAAAAACTAAAATATAAATTACCTTCATGTTATCAATAAACTCTATATTCTCCAATCAGCTAAGCTACCAACAATAAGTCGTTATATATCACAATGCTATATGGCGAAAAAAAAATGGGTGGATTCTTACCCTCAACTTTAGCAACACGGATAGCTACGGGCCCCGTTCAGACGGACGAGTTCATCCAAGGTCGGAACAGAGGAGGGGGAGAGAGACAGCTGCGAGGCGCTATTATACTCCATGTTGTAAACCATACCATTAACCGTGGTGTGAGAGGTATTAAGAGTCAATGCTGGTGAAAGAGCTGCGGTCTGAAGGTCATCGTAAAATACAATTAATTAAGAACGGAAATGGTTTAAAACATCTTTCCAATGGTTACTAAGCCAGAATCCATCTTCTCGGTTGAAATTGTCTCTGTGCTTGTATATGTGAATGGCCTCATGAACGAATCTCTCATGGTAGCCGGTTGGTTTGCAAAGAACCTCCGTCTTGGAGAAGTCAATGTCATGTGAGCCCACTGAATTATAACAGTGATCTGCCACGGCAGAGGAGTTCGTCCTACCGTGTTTCAAGTCTGCTTCATGTTCACGGATGCGGTCCGAGATATGTCGTTTGGTTTCTCCAATGTAGCTACTACCACAGAGGCACTTTAGTTTGTAAATGCCCGGGTACTGTATGTCTGGAACAGCATCTTTTACAGATGGAACTAGATCACGGATTTTATGTATTGTGTTGAATCAGACCTGGATCTTGTGTTTATTCAGGATTTTGGAGATATTTTTAGTGACCCCTGCAATGTAGGGTAAGGTGATGGTTTTGAGTGGCTCCACAAGAGAATCCTTCTTCATGACTGGAGTGATGGCTTTGCGGATTGTGTAGTCGGAGTAACCATTAGCCCTGAGAGCCTGGTGTACGTGCTTGAGTTCACTGGTAATGTGTTCCTGGTCGGAAATGCATTGGGCTCTATGGTATAGAGTCTTGATGAGGGAGTTCTTCTGGGATGGATTGGTGGTGGGAATCCGGTTTCAAGTAAGCATCTGCATGGGTGGCTTTCCTGTAGACAGAGTGGCTCATTGAACCATCATGTCTCCTTTTAATTAAGACATCCAAAAAGGGTAGTTTGCCATCTTTTTCGACCTCCATGGTAAATCTGATGGCTGGGTGTATGGAATTGATGTGGTTGAGGAATTGGTCTAGAGCAGGCTGGCCATGTGGCCAGATGACAAAGGTGTCATCCACGTACCTCTTCCATAAGGTCGGGCGTAGAGTGGCAGTCTGGATGGCGTCATTTTCAAAATTTTCCATGAATACGTTGGCTACAACCGGAGATAGGGGGGAGCCCATTGGGGTGCCCTCAGTTTGTTTGTAGAAAGTTCCATACCAGGTGAAGTATGTGTTGGTTAAGCAATGTCTCACCAGGGGGGGTACATCAGTGTGCAGTCCTTGATGAACCAGGTCTTCAATGATAGCGATGGTGTCAGGTACCGGGACTTTGGTGAACAAGGACACCACATCAAAACTGACAAGCAGGTCGTCTGGGGACAGGGAAATGCCTTTGATTGTCGATACCAGGTGAGTAGAATTTAGTACCACAGAGGTGGTTTTTCCAGTGAAAGTTCGCAGTATATCAGCAAGAAAACGTGCCAGTTTATAGGTGGGGGAGTTGATAGTAGAGACGATGGGACGAAGGGGTGTATCGTCTTTGTGTATCTTTATATAATCTTGTTGGTCTGGCAGCAGAGGGTTTCAACGAGAACTGTTTGGTCTCATCAATTAATGCTGTTGAATCAGAGATGATTTTGTTCGTTTTGGTAACCAGGCTGTTGGTGGGATCTCTTTTTATTTTTGTATAGCTGCCATCGTTGAGTAGTTCTTGAATTTTGTTGTTATATTCTGTTTTGTCCATGATGACAGTGGCATTGCCCTTGTCGGCTGAGAGGACGACAATATCATCCCTCTTTTTTAATTGAGATAATTCAAAACGTTCGTCTTTGCTGATGTTGCTGGGTGGCAACTTAGCGTTTTTGAGGGTTGCAGCGATTTCAGATCTTGCTACGTCTGCAGCGATGGGACTCAAGCCCTTGAGTGCAACTTCGACATGGGCAATGATATCATTAACCGGTAAGTGTCTCGGTGTGACAGCAAAGTTTAGACCGTTAGCTAAAACGGATTTCAGACCATCAGAAATGGAACTGTTACTGCGATTAATTACGACTTTGTTGACGTCTATCTTTTCGGTGTGTGGGTCCGATTTTTTGCTGGAGAGGTGATTGAATTTGGAAATCAAATTTTCCCTACATTTGGTCGACATAGTGGCAGCCGAAGAGGTAGTCATATTGTCTACATGTTCCCAATCCGATGTAGACATTGTTGCTGTCAATGTTAAGTGTGATTTGTAGAGTGTCTTGCCTAACTGGTCGAGTTCGGTGCGTGTAAGTCTGATTTTTTCTGAGATAAGAGCGAAGCTAGTTCTAGCTAGAATTCGTTTTGCATTGAGAGAAGTTGCAACAGCAGAGGTTAGTGTAAATGCGGTTGGTATTACCTTAGAGTCGCGGCATCTCTTCAGAAAGGTGAGAGACTCGATTAGTTGAGCCTTCTTATCCCGGAGTCTGAATGATCTCAAGGATGTGTGAAATCCCTCCCCGTAGAGGCGGTTAAATTTCGATTTAAAGCTTTCGTGACTGCAAGGATTCATCTTAATGGGTTCTTTCGGTAAAGTCACGTAGAATGAGAATAAAATAATAAATTGATAAAATAAAATAACACAATAATATTCTCACGACGTTTCGGCCACAACACAAGCGGCCTTCATCAGGTGACGGGACGAGACTGTCTGGTAGGACAGCGCTGGAGTGAAAAAAGCCATGTTCAGATCAAGACCGTTAAGCTGTGTCAGAAGAAACAAAGCACCTTGACAAAGGAATTAGCATATAATTTAGCATTGAAATGGCCGAGTGATTAGCTTGTGACTGGTCACAGAAATGGCTATGTTCAAGTTAAAGCATACACATCCGCAGAGGCACCCCTTGACAAAGGAATTAGCATAGAATTTAGCATTGAAATAGCTAAGTTAAAGCATGCACATCCGCAGAGGCACCCCTTGACAAAGGAATTAGCATAGAATTTAGCATTGAAATAGCTGAGTGATTATCTTGTAACTGGTCACAGAAATAGCTATGTTTAAAGTCAGAGCATACACATTCACCGAGGCACCTAGTACAAATCAAACAGGAGAATTTAGCATTGAAATAACTAGGTGAATTTAGCATTGAAATAACTGAGTGATTAGCTAGTGACTGGTCACAGAAATGGCTATGTTGAAGTCAAGGTCTACACATCTGAGCTATTCACAGTAACTGGGTATACAATACAATGTATAATGAATACTACATAGTGAACCAATAAAAAACTAAAATATAAATTACCTTCATGTTATCAATAAACTCTATATTCTCCAATCAGCTAAGCTACCAACAATAAGTCGTTATATATCACAATGCTATATGGCGAAAAAAAAATGGGTGGATTCTTACCCTCAACTTTAGCAACACGGATAGCTACGGGCCCCGTTCAGACGGACGAGTTCATCCAAGGTCGGAACAGAGGAGGGGGAGAGAGACAGCTGCGAGGCGCTATTATACTCCATGTTGTAAACCATACCATTAACCGTGGTGTGAGAGGTATTAAGAGTCAATGCTGGTGAAAGAGCTGCGGTCTGAAGGTCATCGTAAAACACAATTAATTAAGAACGGAAATGGTTTAAAACATCTTTCCAATGG